TCAAAATAGAAAACTGATGAGAATCACCATTAATGGAGATATGAGAAGAGAGAAAAAATATCTTCATTCATAATGTATGACTTTACATTCAAGATATGTGTATATATACAAGAGAATTAATGAGCTGTAACTAAAAGATTCTTCCTAACTAATTCTAACTGACTTCTACAACTAACTAACTTTGATAAATGGCTAACTAACTTCATTAATTCATCACTCCCCCTCAAGCTTAGAATAAGAAAATATATTTCTCATTCCAAGCTTGTGAATAAAAGCTTCATGCTAAGGCTTACACAATCCTTTTGTGAGTAAGTCTGCTGGCTGATCTTTAGTGTTTATGTAGTGTGTCTGTACGAGCCCTTCCAAAATCTTTTCTCTAACAAAGTGACAGTCTATATCAAAATATTTAGTTCTGTCATGAAAAATAGGATGAGCTGCTATCTGAATTGCAGCTTTGCTGTAACAAAACTTTATAGGCAGATTGATTTCTATTTCCAACTCCTTGAATAAACCTTTTAGCCAAACTATTTCTGCAATTGTAGTGTCCATACTTCTGAATTCTGCTTTTGCAGAGCTTCTAGATACAGTATTTTGCTTCTTAGCCTTCCATGATATTACTGCATTCCCAAGTTTCACTATATATCCAGTTACAGATCTTCTAGACTCCACATAGGCAGCCCAATCTGAGTCACAATATGCTGTTAAGTCTGACCTTTTACTGCTTGGCATAAACAAACCAAGTCTTGTTGTTCCTTTGATATACCTCACTACTCGAATAACCGCTTCCATGTGAGATATTTTAGGTGAGTGCATATACTGATTTAACACTTGAACTACAAAGGCTATGTTTGGCCTAGTCATAGTCAAATACAACAACCTCCATATAAGCCTTTGATATTTCCCAAAGTCATCTAACAATGTATCTTCTGTATTACTGACTTTGCCTGTGCATTCATCAAATTCAGTAGAGGTTAACTTGTGCTTGAATTCTAGAGGAGTAGAAGCAGGTCTGCATCCTGTTAATCCTAATTCAGATACAAATCCTGAAGCATATTTTCTCTGATTCATGAGAATACCATCATTAGTTCTAGAAAATTCAATTCGAAGAAAGTATTTTAGCTCACCAAGATCTTTCATCTTGAACCTGTGTTGTAGATCTTCCCTAACCTGTTGTATGAGTTGCAAATTACTACCAGTTACTAATAGATCATCAACATATACCAGAATAACAAGCAGCTCTTTTTCTACCTTCTTTGTAAACAAAGAATAATCATAACGAGACTGTGTATATCCCATATTAATCAATGCTTGAGTCAGTTTTAGATTCCATTGACTTGGTGCTTGCTTCAAGCCATACAAGGATTTATGTAACTTACAAACCATAGACTTGTCCCCTTGGGTTGCAAAGCCATCTGGAATCTGCATATATACTTCTTCAAGAAGATCACCCTGAAGAAAGACATTGTGAAGATCCATCTGATATACAAACCAACCATTAGAAGCAGCTAAGGCTACAACTGACCTCACAGTTACCATCTTGGCTACTGGGGAGAAGGTCTCAGTGTAATCTAGACCTTCTTGCTGACTATACCCTTTGGCCACTAGCCTGACCTTATATCTTTCAACTGCAACTGAGGCATGATATTTCATTTTATACACCCACTTGCAACCAATAGGAGTCTTATCATGTGGAAGAGGAACAATAGACCAAGTACAATTATCTTCTAGAGCAGTAATTTCTGTTTGCATGACTTTGACCCAGTGAGGATCCAAACATGCTTCCTTATATGACTTAGGTTCAATAATGGTAGAATAAGCAGCAAGAGAAGCTCTATAGGAAGGAGACAGTCTAGAATAAGAAACATAATGTGAAAGAGGATATAGACAGACATTTTTATCACTAGGAGTAACATAGTTATCCAACCAAGCAGGAGGTTTGGAGAGTCTGGTAGATCTTCTAAGAGGAGGTTGATTTTCAGTAGCTACAACTACCTCAGAAGGAGTATAAAGTGAATGAGATTCAACTAGAGATGATGTAGAAACTAGAATAGCATGTGAAGTATCTGAAGCAAGAATAGACTCAGAAAGAATAGAAGAATCATCAGAAAAATGTAGAACAGGAAATAAAGGAGAAGGAGAAGAATGAAGATCTTTAAAAGGAAATATACCTTCTTTAAACACTGTGTCTCTACTAACAAAAAAAGAATGAGAGCTCAAATCATACAATATATAGCCTTTTTTTGAAGAGGAATAACCTAAATGTACAACAGGAATAGCTCTGGGAGAAAATTTATCTAGATGTTTAGGAGTAGTAGCATAACATAATGAACCAAAGACTCTAAGATGTTGAAGGGAAGGAACTTTGCCAAACAACACTTCAAAAGGAGACCTATTTTGCAATACTACAAAAGGTAATCTGTTAAGATTATATACTGCTGTAGAAACACAACAACCCCAGTACTTCAAAGGAATACTTGCTTGAAACCTTAATGCCCTGGCCATATCAAGAATAGATCTATGCTTTCTCTCAACCACACCATTTTGTTGAGGAGAATAAACACAAGAACTCTGATGTATAACTCCAAACTCCTTGAATAGACTAGAAACTTGAGAGTTGACAAACTTAGTTCCATTATCTGTTCGAACACACTTAACATTGACACCAAATTGTGTTTTCACCATACTTAAGAAATGTTTTAGAACTATAAGAGAATCAGACTTGGTATGTAACAAAAAAATCCAAGTATATCTAGATTTATCATCCACCAATGTAAGAAAATATCTCTTGCCATCGTGATTTAAAACTCTGTAAGGTCCCCAAACATCTCCATGTACAATATCAAATGAAGAAGCAGAAGTAGTAACACTAACAAGAAATGGAAGCCTAGATTGTTTTGCAATAGGACATACAGTACAATGATGAACTTTCAGAGATACAAGAGGTAAACATTCTATTCTACTGAGTACTTTAAGAGGAGCATGGCCAAGCCTCTTATGCCAGAGATCACTCAGAGAATTACAACTAGTAGTAGCAACACTAGACTTGTCTACATTAAGAACTTCAGTAGTGGAATTATGAGCATGAAAGCCACCACATTATCAATAGGATCTACATCTTTTCCTTTGCTTAATAGCTGAAGAATCTGTGAAAACTGCTCAGGTGTTAATAAGGACACACCACCATGTGTACCTGTTGGAGTAGTATTAGTAGAGGAAGCATGATTATCAGATGCTCTTACCTCATTAAATTGATTGCCTCCAGTAGCAGCACTGTTGGCATGAGAATTAGAGGTGGTTCCTTTCCTCTTGGGATATCCATGGAGCTTATAACAAGTCTCACTGGTATGACCTTTAAAATGACAGAAATCACAAAACAAGTGAGCTTTCCCATTAGATCTATCATCACCATAGTTTCTCTGCCTATAACCACCATTGTTTCCATTTTGATTACTGAAACCAGAGTATTGACCTTGAGATACTTTGTTACTCATAAGAGCAACTTCTGAATGTGGATCAACTAGAAAGGAACCAGTACTTACACCATTCAACCTCTGACTTTCAACATTAATGATCATAGCATAAGCTTGATTGACATTAGGAACAGGAATTATCATCAAAATTTGAATCTTAGCATGAGCATAGGTCTTATTTAGTCCCATTAGAAATTGCCATAGCTTATGATTCTGAAAATGTTCATAATACAATTTTTCTTCATTACAAGCACATGAAGGAGGAGGCATTAGAGTTTCAAACTCATCCCACAATTCTCTAAGTCTAGAAAAGTAACTTGATACAGAAGCAGTACCTTGAGATAGTGTAACAATTTCTTTATGTAGAAAAAAGGCCCTGGATGCAGTGACCTTATCAAACCTTTCACGAAGATCTTTCCAAACTGTATGTGCATCAGATCAATAGATGACTGTACTAAGTAAACCTTTAGAAACAGAATTCATTATCCATCCCAAGACAATGGCATTACACCTATCCCACAGATCATGCATAGAAGAGGGATACATATCCATTTTACATGTTCGTAACAAAAATCCCAACTTGTTTTTTCCTAGAAGTACAAGTTTCAAGGATTTACTCCATAGATAGTAATTTTCAGATCCTAGAAGTTGAATTGAGATAAGAACTGAACCTTGAGTATCTGATGGATGAATGAACAAGGGATGATTGTGATCAACTCGTTCAAATTTAGTAGAAGATCTTCCCTGTAGTTGCAGTTCATCATTTACAACACCTTCATTAGGAAGCACCATGATTGATTCACCAACAAATTTCCAGAACTTAACAGGGATCAAATAAGAGATGATAAATAGATCACAAACAAAGATTCTTTCTAGAACGCAACAGAGATCCAATTAAAAGATGATAACCAGATCACAAAACAGACTTGTATTAGCAAATCGAAGAGCTGATGAAATGATTTCACACTATGTAGATGTTAGACACAGGATAATTCACTGTGTTCTGATACCATGATGAGAATCACCATTAATGGAGATATGAGAAGAGAGAAAAAATATCTTCATTCATAATGTGTGACTTTACATTCAAGATATGTGTATATATACAAGAGAATGAATGAGTTGTAACTAAAAGATTCTTCCTAATTAATTCTAACTAACTTCTACAACTAACTAACTTTGATAAATGGCTAACTAACTTCATTAATTCATCAAAAACAAAAAGTCTTGCACAATTTACTAGATATATCTAGTACGAAATTTAAAGAGACAATTGATGCATTAATTCCAACAGAACTACTCTTGTTTTCTGAAATGTGAAACAAGAAAAATGAAAGAAAATTTAGCTTGTGGAATAAAACTCCAATTTCATGAGAGACGAAATCGTCTTGGAGCAAATTTTCAACACATTAACTATGACTTTTAACACAGTAACTATGACTTTTAACACATTAACTATGACTTTTAACTGCTTAAAGCAATTAGTTTTTAATCAAAATGTAAGTGAAATTAATATCTTACACTTGAGTGTATGAAATGAAAAGAATGGAGTATCAAAAGAATTATATTCACAATTAATCAGCAGCAGTTACCACTAAAACTTCAGTCAAGGAAACACCAATACTTTTTCCTAAAGTGCTTCAAGTTGCTTTCTTCTAGGAAGTTACACTGTTATGCACAATAAAACACACTGCCTGAACATACTTCAAGATGATACAGAGTTGGTTATACGCCATTCGATTTAGTACTTTCAAACTAGCTTAACTCCGCTCCTAGAAGTACTCAAAGTCGATATATGATGAATCAGTACAAGTGTTTTTGCTTTTATCATGACTTTCAGTATCTGGCATCTTCTTATCTGAACAAGGAGCTGATGCATCTTTACTAGCGTACTGAGCAAAGTCGACAGGTTCAGGTATAGAGGGAGGAACAGCACTTCTTACTAAAGCCCAATTAACCCCCTCGAAGAAGGGGTGCTGTTTTATCTCAGTAGCACCTCTCTTATAGGCAATTCTCTTGTGTGGTTCCTTCACAAGGAGGCCTCGTATAAGATCACGTGCAATAGCACTCACTTGCGGAGTTTCTGGAAATCTCAAAGGTTGTCCTACAACATTGAAGAGCGTAGCACGATTTCCAGCACCTTTAAAAGGTGTTGTACCATGCAGAAGTTCATATAAGAAGATGCCAAAAGTCCACCAATCAACTGCACTACCATGACCCTCTCCGCGTATGATCTCAGGGGCTAAGTACTCATGAGTGCCAACAAAAGACATGGAACGCACATTAGTCGGCTCTGCCATAAGCTCAGGGAGTGATCCTCCCACAAAAAGACCAAAATCTGATTTAGACTTGCGATTCTTTTTGGTAGGAAGAATGTTACGAGGGAAAAAAGTCGAGGGCTGAATACAACCTTGGACTGCATTGTCATTGTCTAAAATGCCCGATCCACTGCTAGGATTTCCTCCTCCTCCTCCTCCGTGTACAGATGAAGACTTAACAAGCGTTGGATTGACAGAACAACGGAGAGATAAGTCAAAATCAGACAGCATTATATGACCCTCATCTCTCACTAGTACATTTTCTGGCTTAAGATCCCTATAAACAATTCCGAGCATATGCAGATACTCAAGTGCCAACAACACCTCTGATGCATAAAATCTGTAAATATACAAATAAACAGGATGAATTATACTCATGAAACGTTTATGCATCGAGTAGGATAAAGATCGTATATGTACTAACCTAGACGCCTCCTCAGTGAAATGCTTATTAGGCTGTTTTTGACGGAGCGTATGAAGATTACCTCCACTGCAGAACTCCATAACTAAGCAATAAAACTTATCAGTCTCGAAATGTGAATACAACGTTGGCAAGAAAGGATGGTCAAGTAGACTAAGAATCTCGCGTTCTGTTTGTGCTCTGAGTAATTTATTTCGACTAGCAAGAGATCCTTTATCCATCACTTTCATTGCAAAGAAGGCATTTGTTCCCCTGAGTTCCACAAGGTACACACTTCCAATATCACCATATCCTAAACGTTTCAATAATCGAAAATTGCTTAGATTAAGAGGAGGTCCACCTCTACCAGTAGCAGAATTAATCGCATCCCATCGAATATCACCACCAGTGTGTGGTTTCAGAGGTGTAGTACTACTCGAGCTACTCTCTGTGCTTTCACTAACTTTATTCGGATGAAATGTTTCGTCTAACGACATCGTGCTCATCTGCATTGAAGAAATGTACTTAACACCACTACAACACTTCAACCAAATCCTATTGAATTTAACAAAAAACTTCATACTTAGCATTAAAAATAGAAGACCATCAATCAATCATCATACATGAAATTTATACAATATTTAAACGTATTACATTTTCCTTTTTTCATTAACCATGACGTCCACCAGCAACAAGTACCAGGTAAATTTGTCCACCAAAGCTAGGACAGATGAGAAGAATCACCTGTTGTTTTTGTAAACCTATTGTATTTTAAAGATCCACTTTTGTAGAAATGAAGTTGAAGCAGAGCTAAAAAAAATTTTCCATTTAAATTCCTCGCAAATAGATTGTCAACATAAATAACGACAATAACAAATACTACGTCAAAATAATTAAGATCAACTATATGAATCTCCGTTTTAAATAGAAATAACTGTTTTTTGTGTTCAAGCTTATACAACAATTTCTGCATATGATGAACTATAAATGTCAAATAAAAATTAGGAATACGATACAAAATAGAATTGACCTCAGATAACTCTAATGGTGTTGGCTTTGTCGACATTATAAAAATTTCAACCAAATAACCTGAAAAATTAAAAAAAAAAATTGATTCGTCATACAGCCAAATTCTATCCAACAGATCACAAGTTTGATATCGTACAACAATGAAAAAATAAAAAAATAAAAATTGAGATTGAAATGTATTTCATATATCGATAATAAATCTTTATATTTATAACGAAACTTGACTTAATAACGAGCTCATAACATAAAGATGAACAAAAATGACGATAAAAAAAATTCAAAAAACATGTTTATAAACCAGAATTATGATTTCTTCAACAATGTTGCAAGTAAATGGGAGAAATAATTATGTAAAAGAACGAAGCGCGAACCAGAAGGATGGAAGATATAATGTGAGTTTCAAGTAATCAAAATTTTGAATTCATTCATATCGAATTCATTCTCTTGCGTAAGAAGCCTTTTGTTTTTATTTTCCCAAATGGAAATTGATAGTACTGGTAATAACATTTTTTTTTTTGCTTAAAGAATTGTTTTATTCTATTTCAAAATACATTTTAACGTCAATAAAAGAAAAAAAAGATTTGTATATATGTTATGGAAATTGGATGTTAAAATAGAAAGAAATGAGAACCATAACATAAAAGAAGGAGAAGCCTAAGAATAGCCGTTAATATCTGACATAATGTTGGGATATATGATTGGGCATGCATAGGAATAGAGTTTATACAAAATTAAGTTTGAGTTGAGTTTATGTATATGTGCAGATAACTCACTCTAATCCACTTATTGTAATTTGTGAAATGAACAAATAAAATGGTGACACATATAATTTTCTAAAAAGATATCAAGTATATATCTCTATCTATTTAGATAAAAATTAAATTACTAAAATACCCTTTGTTAAAATTAAATTATCCTATTTTTTATTTTTTTAAAAATGTACATAAACAACCCCAAATCCAATGGACGTGTTCTTTTGTAAAAAAGATAAAAATCTAACTTCTTGAAAAAACAAACTAATGTTATGTTTTTAATAATAGCCACAACCATAACTCCTTTTCAATGACATCACACAACTTCATATTAATAAGACATGACTTTAGATAGAAATATGTGTGTGTCGCGTATCAGGATAGAAGATTCATTAAGTAGTGAAGTGTTGTTTTATTATTCGAAGTTTTTAGGCTTGTTTGGGTCTGTTGTAGTACTAGTCATAATGCTATAATTTTTGTTTTTGATATCTGTCATCATGTAGTATTTATTGTGTTTTGTTAATCATTATTTTTTGTTGCTATTGTTCCTTTCTGGTAAGTTATGCAATCCTTTCCTTATTAGTTGCGGTGATTCCTTCACTGATGAACACGTGATTGAGCTTATGAACTATGAAATATGACTCTTATGAAGATATGCATACTATATATAATGAAAGAGATGTAAATGATTTGAGAATGCTTTGAGAGGAAAGTATCAAGGTTGTTGTGAAAGGTTTTCTCACATAATACTAAGATCATGATTGTGAATGATTTTCTCACCTAAGTTGAATCATGTTTTTGAAGATATTTTTAATAACACTAGCTTGGTTTGGTTACTTGATTGTGCTTTCCATATATGATAATATGTATATGATAAATGACTATAACGTAATATTTTACTTAGCACTGAGCGGACTTTTGGGATGAAGGTTTCCATTTAGTGTTTGTGGACCTTTAATAGCTATCCCTAAGTTCCAGAACTTTGTGTCACCATAGGATATTGTCTCTGATAAACACTAGCTAGTGGATTCACTTTAGCTCCGACTCATGGTTCTTACCTTGGCAAGTAAGGACATCTCTTTTCTGTGTGTGATAGACAACAGATTCCATGTTATAGCTCACATTGTCTAGGTCGATTAATGGTAAACATCCCTCAATAATGAACTAAGGTTACTTTCAAAGTATCTCATAAAATGTTTTAAAGATGTTAAGCTAGCATTGACCATGATTATGTCTTGTGTTTTCTAACCCTTTTATCTTATGATTTAGCTTGTTCATTGCATGACATGTTAAGTCTTTTTAACATGATTTCCTAACTCTTATGCATTGATATTATGCTTAGTACATTTCATGTACTAAGCCATATGTGTACCTAGCTACATTGTCTCATTAATGTAGGATCTCACACTCCTACCTCTCATACTCGTAGCTAGTTGATCTCTTGGCATTCAAAGATGGGCCAATCCTCATGTTTAGAGAACCAAGATACTTTTATAACTTTATTCATTTCAGTTTTCGGACATTTGTATGTGATGTGTGAGTTACATCCTAACCATTTTCTTTTTTAGATGAAGAAGATAGTGTGAGGGATAAGAAAGAGAAAGAATAGGTATGGTGAACATAGGATTGATGAGTGACAGTATTAAGATTTGGACTGTTTTATCAAAAAATAATATTTCGAAAAGAGTTTGTTTTATTTTTAAGGTATTTTCGACTTTTAGGAGTCGCCACTTAATTTTTAAGAAAAATCTAGAAAACTTATTTTTTCAAAACAACTAAACAGAAAATTGATTGAAAAAAAATTTAAGGGTTCGAAATTCCTATTAGTGTCTTAGGAAGGTTTCAAAAGAAAGCACCTAAGACGCTCCGTTTACTACGGTTTTCCGACAATTAACTTATTAACTTTTGCAATTTTGAAGTTGAACTTATTAAAGTTTCATTTGGACAAATTTACAAGTTTGCGACATTTATTGTTATCTTGCCATTTGCGAATATATTTCAAAGCTTAACTTCCTTAAGGTTTATCTAAGCAAGCTTTACAAATTTTGAACTATTATCGTTTTTTAGATTTAATTTTAGTTTGATAAAATAAAAGGCGCTCGATGGGGTTTGGATTCTTCTAATCCTAAGCTAACGACATTTAAAACAAAAACGTCAACAAATAGCAAAGAGAGATAGAGAGAGAGGGAGAGGGAGATTTGGGTCCAAACTCGGGTTCTGTTCGCCTTGACCGAGTTTTGGACCCACCTGTTTTTGGGGGTTTTAACCCGTTTTCTTTCGTACCTGTCCTAGTCTAAGCATATAAAATAATTACAAGAAAAATAAAAAAATAAAAAAACAATAAAGGCTTATGCCCATTACAAAGTAAAAATACGGAATAAGATGAAGTGAGGTCTTCTAGTCCGTTTGGATTCTCTTCAATTCCTTAAACTTCTGATCGTCTCGCCGGTGTCTCATCTTGACTCGAAAGGATGAAATTAAGCCCTTATAGCTTTCTTACAATAAGGGCCGAGATGAGAATCCTTGTCGAACTCGGACAGGTTTAACATGCCACAAATCAAAATGAAAGGAGTAAATATATAACCCGGTAAGGGAATTGCAAGATAGTAAGGTAACTTAATGAAAAATGCACATTTTATTCATGAACGATATGTATTAACAGATGATTCCACTAAAGGAAATTACACAGAGGAGGCATACTGGACAGTGACTTTGAAGAAGAGAACGGATAAAACAAGTAATAAACCAAGAGATAAAATAAGATATATTCACATGATAAGAACTATGACTTTGTACGTCAGTAATAACAGACATAAGGATAGCAAGATGATGAAAAGAGTACAAGTAAAAAAAAACTTGACAGCAACATAATCACGTATGTCAATAATACTTAATCTTGAGCCAAAACTGGAAATAATGCAAAATTGTGTTCATGTATTATTCCCTTTAAAATGTTATCCAAACCAACCTCAACTCAAACGAAGTATATCAAGAGCTTAACATAACAAACTTATCAGCCTTTTTCAGCGTTTCCTTGGGTGGGGTTTCTGTTCGTGGGAAGAAGAAAGGGAAGATGGGTCGGGTCGGGTCAAAACGTTGGGCTGGGTAATTTTATTTAAAGGCATATGGGCTGGAAAGAGAATAATTGGGTTGGGTTGGTTTAGTGATTGGGAATTAGGATGGGCTGAAGATTTGAAATGGAAGAGGGGAGGGAGGGATTAATTTAGTGGGTTGTTAAGGGATTTGGGCCGCCTGGGACTTAATTTAGTGGGCTGAAATTGGTTTGGATTGTTAAAAAAAATGTTTGGGCCTAGGAAATAAAATAAAAGGATGGAGAACAAACAACCAATTAAAATGACAAACTTATATCGACTAATTAACGAGCCTCTTTGTTTAGTAAAATAATTATTAAAATCGTAAAATAATGATTAAAAATATAATTATAATTTAAATTAAACTAGTTTTAATAAAACATTTAAATGTATATTTTTGATGATTTTTTTTGAATAATCGTAAGATATACAAACTATATACATAATTATGTAATATATATGTACTATCTAAAGTTATGATAAGTAGCATAAAATCCACTTATTATATATATATATATATATATACATATACATATATTTATTTATTTTTTTTAATTTTCACAAGATTTATAAAACTAATTAAGTTAAATAATTTGGAAAACTCACAAAGCTCGATAATTAATTGATCCCGATGCGAGTCAAAATTGGGTGTCAACATGGACTAAAAACATGATTTAGGGGATAGTTAAGCTACACCTTATTATTACAAGTTACTTTTAGAGTGTGATGTATCTCAATTCATTTATAGTACAAAATTGTTAAACAATGGGATGCTTGATAATTTTTTTTGAAAATATAGGTAAGACTATTATATGATAAACTATCTAATTACACAAATATTTTTATCATATTTACTAATTCTAACTAATAATTACATTTTATATCACTAATGAATAATTTCATACCACATTTTAAGTTAGATAAATTTAGATATATGTTTTTTGCTATCAAATATAACCAAAAGAGGAGAGAGGCGAGCAAATTTGTTTATGTATCTCAGGTGCATGTGAATCACACTAGATACGTCTAACTTAGAGGAATCCCACTAGTATATGTGTTAATTACTTAGGTTCATGCTAATTTACAATATTATAAATCTTACTAGATTTTAGTGCATCCAGATTTGTCCAAATATATGGGTCAAAATTAGGTTGTAATTTGTTCTGTATACACTATAACCATGTGAATTCTCATGTATTTGGATACAAACAAAATTCGCTCGCCTCCCTCCCATCTCGTTCGCCACTCTAGTGTCTGGTTTGCGTATCTGGTATCCTAGTATACATGGGAATCACACCAGGTACATGTATATAATGTGTATCTAGTGTGATTCACTTGTATCATGGATACATAGACAAATCTCGCTCACTTCCCTCTCATATTGTTCCCCACTCTCATATCTTTACTCGTGTATCTGGTAATCAGATACATGTGAATCACACCAGATAAGTATATGTGTATCAAGTGTAATTCACATATATTGACTTAAAATCTAGTATGAAATTATTAAATAGTGAGATAAAATATATTTATTTCAAACTATAAAAATTTCTTTTAGTAAATATAATAGAAACATTAGTGTAATTAGGTAGTTTTACCAATTTGATACCTAAAGCCCATCTTACACCCCTTAAGTAAGGAAAAGAACAAAAGTAAGAAGGCAAACTTTATTCCATTATGTATTGGCCTTTAGTAAGGCTCCCATATTGTCAAAATCACAGACA